TCCTCATTTAACTTATAGTTGTTCTGCTTGGTTTTCTTAGCTTTCCAAGCAGACAACTGTTCCACTTCGGCATCCCTCCTACTCCACTCGGTGTCGTCCACAAAGAAGAATTTTTCTTTCCACCCTTTGATGGATGACGGTCCAGCAGAGAATAAAGTCCTATTCCCTTTACTGGACGACCGAGGGCCGAAGTAGTACCATCCCTTCTCCCCCCTACCCCCAGCCTTAATTATAAAAAAATGTTTAAACATATTTACTGTCGGGACCCCAACCCCCTGAACTCTGCAGTATACAAGAAAACCTATTACTGCCCTCATGGCATTGGGAGTTAGCTGGGTTATTCCTATACTATAATCTAATAAAAGCTCAACCAGTAATTCTGGAATGGGAAACCTAAGCCCTGCAATCAAATAATGCAGGTATATGGGCATCCAATGGTCTCGGGGTGCTGAGCATGCCCTCTCATTCACCCCGGCCGGCCGGATTAGGACATGGTGGGGAAGGTTACAGTTTCCCACTAACCCCCTAAGGCTACTCCTACTACCTAATTCGCTCACATACCCCCTCACCTCAGACACTATCTCTAAGTCCGGGTCATAGCACCCATCTACGCCACCCCCAGATTCTAACACGTTTGAGGGGATCTCCTCTTCCTCCTCCTCTACTACTACTTTTTCCCTCCTCTCCTCCACCGTCCTCTACGAACTCGTTGGAGATGGACTGCTCTCCGTATCCATACTACCATACTCCAAAGGCATCACTTCACTCCCCACCACACTCCTGGCCTTTTCTGAAGACATCTCAATTTCTGCATACAGGGGGAGGAGGAACGATGTCAGGACCCTAAACAATTCCAACACACTCAACACATTCTCACTCCCCACCCTAATTTCCTCCAAAAAACACAAAATCAACCACAGAAAGCTAGGAAGGAGAATAGCATACCAGCAAAATTGAACTCAAGAATTCAAAATTGAAGTTAAAAATTTGTACATTTTACCTGATTTTGATCTTACGAAACTGTTGTTGAAGTCTTAATCGAAGCGCAAACCGCACGAAACCGCAGAAATTTAGCAGAAATTTCACAAGGATATACTAGCAAAATAACGAGAGTAAAAAAGTCTCATTTTACAGAAGTATAGCCTTTTATACCAAAGGCAAAATACGCTCCAACGGCTGTGATTAATTCAATCTAACGGCTGCAGAGACACCGTTTCGAATTCGACGGTTAACTATTAAACGACACCGTTTCTAATTCGACGGTTCGCTTTTCAAATCTACCCGTTTGACTGTTGCAGTTATCTTTTTTACAGCGGCATTTATTACGCACGTCATTCAGAGGACAGCTGTCGCGTCACGTGCCGTGTCTTAGTCAGACCTCTCAAACGGGCCCATTTAAGCCCATTTCAACACTCCTTTCCACTTTTGTACATTTTAAATTTTGACAAGTATTTTACTTCGACTACGGCCACAGTGACCCAGTGTCACTCATTTTACTTCGGCTCCGGCCACAGTGACCCAGTGTCACTCATTTTACTTCGGCTCCGGCCACAGTGACCCAGTGTCACTCATTTTACTTTGGCTACGACCATAGTAACCCAGTGTCACTCATTTTACTTCGGCTACGACCACAGTGACTCAGTGTCCCATGTTTCACTTCGGCTACGGCCACAGTAACCCAGTGTCACTCATCTTACTTCGACTATGGTCATTTATTTAGGAGAAGTCATGGATTTTTATCTCTGTAGCTCATCTTAATTTCTCTTTCTTTCTATTTATGCACTGCCCCTATTACTTCCACCAACATCATTCACAAGTGAATGACTTCCCGGGGGGCGGGGGGAATAGTGTAAGGGTAAGTCCAGAGCTTCCCGCTAGAATAGCTACACGGCAGTTACGATGGACATCCTTGTATCTAGATATATCTCAATCTCCCGGTCCCAAAATAACTGCTTGGAGATACATATCAAATCCTGGATATTTTGCTTAGCTCAATCTCCGGGTCCCGAAATAACTGCCTGGAGATACACATCGGATCTCCGATATCTTGCTTGGCATCTTGATTGGCATGCCGCGTGGATTCTGCATCGGAACATATAAATACCTCTTAAGGGCCATGCCAAAAGGTAATTGAAACCAACCCTAAGCTCCTTGTGTCTACGCTTTAAAGGTAGCCCTGATTATTGCTGACTTAAGCATCGGAGTGTCTACCCCGAGGATCCACCTCGGGGCTTTGCAGGTTAATCCAGAGTGCAGATATGGACTGAAGAAGGACTTCTGGTTTGGTGCAGTTACAAAAAATTAACTATTTAAATTAATAATGAAAATACGAAACAACTATTAAATGTATTTTTATAATTTTCTAACATATATGGATGACAATTTCTCTCCATTCACGTGGGCATCGCGAGAATCCTCAACGTGGGTGTGGGGTG